CCAGAATCTGTTGATTCTCTGGTATTCTTGCGTAATTTCAATGAAAACTGATATTGTCTATTGTTATTTTTTTCTTTGGTAGATAAAGTTATATATATGTATTGTTTTAGCACGTTTGCGTTTTCGGCTACGGGTACGGGTCGGGTAGGAGTACAATGTTGCGGGTAGGGGTACTAAGGTGCGGATAGGGTACGGTAAAAAATGAAATAATATTTTTCCATAATTTAAGAATTTCCCGTTTACTTTCAATACTGATAACTCATTTAGCGATATTTTCTTTGAGTTTTTTTATCACATGAAAAATAACAAAGTAGTGCAGTTGATGAGGGGAAAACTTCTTGTATCATCGATAGTTCGTCAAAATCTTTATCAATAAAAAATGTCTGGATAATATCATGATTATCATATGTTTTTTGAAATTTTAAGAGCAATTCTCGTATGTTTTCTTGCGATTCATTCGCCAAAAAGCCAATACCAGCTGGCTGACCTACGAAAAATAAAGAAACAGAAAGAGGTGTTAACGCAAGTGGTGCCAGTAGAGATGTTATCGGATGCTGCAACTATGGAGCTTCTTTTACTCTTTATAGATTTTTAAAACAAAAGTATTGTTGCCAAGTACTGCGCTTTTTTCGGAAGATTCTTGCCTTTTTTGTTTAATATTAGCGTCTCTATTGCTAAGCAAAGTTTGGTGTAATAGCGGCTCAAGCTCATCTCATTAATATAAATATGATGAAAATTTGACTCTTAGACATTTGAAAAACGACAAAAGTTTCTTTTTAGCCGAAATTTTGAACTGAGAATAAGGTGTGTTATTTCAGACGAATCTGAAATTTATCGTTTAGTGACTTTTCTCAATTGTTTAGTTAACGCCTTCCTCGCACAAAAAGGACTAACTGGTTCCACAACTGTCTTGAATTAGAAAAACATATAAACAATTTTTTAAATTTAGCCTGTAAGTTGCATCAAAAAAACCACTTGTCCGTATTTTTGAAAATTGTCTTTCATTGAACTTGAAGCAATAAAAATCATTTCGAGAGCATTTGTTTGTTGTGATATGTTGACTTCAACTGTCGCCGTTGGATCTGCTAGTTTTATTTCATTCAATAAATCATGAACTGCTGTATTTTGTGATGCACTATTATTCGTTGTCGTCTTGTTTAAAACGTTTGCAATATCTTGATTACATTTCATATTTTTTTGTCCATAATAAGACTCCTAATAATACTTCTCGGTACTTTATGCTGATCATAATTTTTGATTAATTCAGTAGCTGAATCATCTAGTCGTCTATTACGAGCATAAAATTTCATATTGGCTTGATCGACTTTGTGATTGTGTTTCAAATCAGTTATCATGATTTTTAACTGTTCGCCAGTGTTATACAAACGAATTTTAGCCTGACAGTTCAGAGCCATGTGATGCTGTTGAGGACGAATGCCAGCGCTACGCGAACGAATTTTACCACCGTGACAGCATTGAAAATCAATTCTTTTACAAACTAAATTAGATGCTTCTTTGAGCTTCAGCGAGTCTTTTGTTCTGAACATAGCACCTGTTTCTTTTGAGTAACGATCTAATTTTTGTTTAAAATCCATAAACATTTTAAAAATATCACCGAGTTTAAATTAACAATCATCCAGAACACCATTAGCTGCAACATCCTGTAATACAAATAATAAAAACGAACAATAACGAAATCGATAGATCCCGTGCGTCATTAGCCAGGATTTTAGCTAAGCGTTGACAGCGCCATCAAAGATCAAACGGAATCAACTGCCTGAAAGTATTCTAACCGACTCAAAGGCTTTGCATCTAGCCTGAAAAAACTAGAATAGTTTTATGTACCAAATCATTTGACTTCGTTGAATCAACTTCTGTTATCAATTTACTGATTTCTGGTGCCTAATAGAACTTTAAAGTCCGAAAAATCCTTGGAAGGTTTCTTAGAAATCCTCATTTCTATAAAAAAATGGAAGCATAATTTGAAAATCGGACTCTGTCAACTCCTACCTATAGGTGTTATCTACAAATCAAAAACAAAATTTTATTTCTCCGATGTACCTTTCCCGAGAGTTCCTAGTCTTTTCTGTTTGTAATTGCATCGCGTTTCACTGTACATCTTGTTAGTGTTCGACTTGGTCTCTTGGTTCAAAAACAAATACTTATAGACGTTTGCATCGTATTCTAGGTAGTATTATTTTTTTGATATAAAAATCACATTTGTGCAAATGTTGTATTCTACCCAACAACAGCTATTTGACTCCAACTAACTTCAAAATCAATGAAAT